TGTGTGTGTGTGTGTGTGTGTGTGTGTGTGTGTGTGTGTGTGTGTGTGTGTGTGTGTGTGTGTGTGTGTGTGTGTGTGTGTGTGTGTATCATAAAAGCGCGCTTGGTTTTCTGCATCAATTATGTCCCTCGATTGTCTACACTCTCCAGCGGTCAATATTATTATTCTATGTATTATAAATTTATATGATCGAAAATACAGTTTCAAAGATGCATTATCGGTCCATTAACGCGAGATAACGGCATTATTAGAGTCAATTCTGTCACGATAATAATCGCGTTGCATTGCACATCATATGAGGTATTAATATTCGATATTGATCGAGAATTCCTCGCATTTCATATCGCGGAACACACATTGTTTGCAATAATGCTACAATGATAAATATTTGTTGCAAGTTGGATAGAAAGATAACGACGGATAAAAATCGCGACGCGATGAAAGAAGGAAGCACTCTGGTGGCGAAGCATAATAAATCGGGGTTGTTTATTATGTGTATGTATACATTTAACAAACCGTCAGAAACTTCGGTCCGTCGAAGAAAAGCCAAAACTTGCCCATCATTCGGGTAATTAACCCTCAAGAACTCATCGTTATCATCTGCGCCGCGGCCAACATCACCGCCGACGGCCGATCGTATCTTCGCAGGACTATTGGCAGTTTAGTTGTCGGTATAAGACGTTTGCTTTATTACTGTTATAAATGTTCTTTAATCTGCATCGACATTATTTTGTGCGACGTTTTGAGCCATGAATTGAGGCCTTAATAACGAAACTCGAACTGGAAGCAAAAGCAAAAAGAATAATTTCCATTTTGCAGTAATTTTCAATCAATCTTTTCGCAATTTTTTAAAATTTACATGATTTAATAAAGAAAAATAAAATCGGAGGTTCGTTTGCGAAATAATTTTAATACGCCAAAAACAAATGTAATAGAATGAAGAAACTATAAACTATAAGAAACTATATATAATCAAAATTCTGATCTGAATAATTCGTTAGACTAATGTATTTTTATATAATTCAAATTTTTAATATTCAAAATTTTAATATTCTAATGAACAATAATATCCGATCGAAATAAGTCTCCACTGTTGCATTTCAAGAAAGAAATTAACAACAGTAACAACAGTACCCGCATCAACAAACCTTAATAAAATATCGTGGATAAA